CCCCAAAACCCCAAAACCCCAAAACCCCAAAACCCCTGTATAAATACTCTTGATTGATAATATAACTTTGTAATAATAATTTAATGATGAATGTCATCGAAACCCCAGAAGAAATTAAAGCTACTGATGAGCTAACGATGGACTCTACATTAGCTAATCACCAGTCGCCTATTAGCATAAACCCTCCTCCGAAAGGTAAGACTTTCTTGTTATCTAACAGATATAACCCTAATTCTATGTTTTGTCTTGATTCAAAATCATTTCAAAAATTAAGCTCTGGTCTTAAAATATGTGGCTAGCATTCCATTCCAGCTTCCTACTAATTCTTAAGTACCCATCCTTCGCTGTGTCTCAGGGTGATTTTTGGCCCTGTTCCTGTAAGAAATCTCCAAATTCTACTAATGATGTCATGTATATGGTGACCTCTTCTAAACCTCTAACAAAAATATATGGTTGACAGTGGGGAAATTTATTGATAACTGAAATCTTCCTTCCTCACCAGCTGCTACATCCCTTCAGAGTTTAGCGTATCTAGGAAGGTTTTAAACCGGATGGCCACCTGGTATCTTACCTTGTATTAAAAATTATAACTCTTTTCCTATTGTACCCTGCAACAGTAGCCTCGTTGCGAAATTAGCTAGATAACTGTTGAAAGTAGGCTATTGTACCTAAGAAATCACGATTTTACCTTCTCTTGTTCAACAGGAATTATACTTCCACCGAAATTTTCAAAGAATAAGAGATCTTTTCCCATTACAATTTTATCTAGGATAGCCTAGCTTAGTTATGTAAGAATGTACAGAGGCCTGCCGATGGCTATTTAGCTTGCTAGCTTTCATTTAGTGAGTTAAATTGTTTAAGAAAGATAAAATTAGCCGATTTTTCATCACAAAAAGTCGACAAAGTTTTAGCCATATTAAATCCAATTGTATCCTTTATAATCTCTCTCAACTTTCAGGAAAGCATCAGTAATGTAAAGCTTTACAAATTATGTTGAGCTGTTAGTGAAAGACTCCTCTTAATTTTCTGAAAATTTTAGTTTAAATTAATCGCTGAACTCCAAATGCTAAAGATTACGTAATTAGAGCTCCTTTTCTACAATTTTTACGATCTTTCTTAGTGATGAAAATAAAATAGACCTTCTGTATCCTAAATTTATTCAAGATTCCTTAAGGTTCTTCCTTGGCCTAGAACAGAAGTTATGGAAAGAATTGTAGGTCAGAGTTTATTGACCTTCTATTGGATTATATCCTTAAAAATTTACCTCGTAGTGGCACTAACTTAATGGGTAAATTATAGAATCCCGTCAAAGCATGTACAAGACTAAAGCTCCGACTAAAAGTGAGGATATTCAGGAACACAGCATTTTCTTGAAGCCTAAGGAAGACCACAAGGTATCTTCTTCAAGAGGTAGGTTACATAAATCCCAATCTCCCAATCGATGGTTTTAGGTCGATTTTAAGGAGATTTTACATACCCTCGCTTGGCCCAAATCGTTACAAAATTTGTATTGATCAATGAATTTAGGTTCCCAAGTGACAAACTGAACCTCCAATAATTGTATACTGAATGTGAAAGCTCAGCGTGAGTCCAAAGCTAAAAAGAATCCTCTCCTAAATTATGTCGAGTTGGACACTCTTGGCTGTGGCTCCTTTGGGAGAGTCATTAAAGTACAAAAGAAAACTACTGATACCCAATACGCCATGAAAATCATTGAGAAGAGGAAGATGGAGAAGGTAAGATCCCAACTCAGCTTAAATATTCATAAATCTTAATCTAACAATTGTTATAGGAAAATAAAATTTATCAAGTCTTCAATGAGAGAGATCTTCTAACAAAATTAGACAATTCCAGAATTATCAAGCTTAAGAAAAGTTTTGCTGTAAGTGTTCAGGAAGTTCAAGTTGCTAATGTGTTATAGTACAAAAACTGTATTTACCTTGTCACGGACCTCTGTCAGAAGGGAGATCTAAGCTCGCTACTCAAGAAGATTTGTAAGCCCTTCGGTTTCTAACAGATTAGGTCACAAAAGACTCTGTATCAAAAATATACAGTTTATTGTCAGCCAGATCCTTGTTGCACTAGAGTACCTCCACTCTATCGGGATAGTTCATAGAGATGTCAAGCCTGAAAATGTTTTTGTCACTGAAGAAGGGCACTTGAAACTAGGGGACTTAGGCTCAGCAGGCATTTCAGCCAAAGCTAGGCAAACTCTGAAAATTAAAAACCATAAGCATAAAGATGGAGTGAAAGAAGAAGGGAAGCTCAACACCTTTGTAGGAACCAAAGAATACGTTTCCCCTGAAGTCTTGCAAGGAAAAAGCTGCTCTCCTGCAGCAGACATGTGGAGCCTTGGTGTGATCATCTTCCAGCTCTTCTGAGGATATACCCCATTCAACCTTGAGAAAGCTGAGTACTATACCTTCCAGAGCATAATGGAGTGTAAATATAATATTCCTGAATTCTTGTCAGATGATGCCAGAGACTTAATTAAAAACTTGCTAGTCAGAAAACCTGAGGAGAGACTCAGTGCCTCTCAGGTAATGAACCATAAGTTCTTTGCAAACTTTGATTTCGAAGAATTCGAAGATAAAGAATCGCCTTTGTGAGACCTATATGAGCAGCTCAAAGACGTCCAAGAGGACTTCGAGTCATCAAGTGAATATGACTCCATTGCTAATGGAGATGATTTTGATGTAGACTTCAGTGAATCTCCAGCTATCGGCAAAGGAATCCTTGATTCTCCCCTCAAGAGCTCTCCAAACAAAGCTTACAAGGCCTATCTCAAGAAGAGCAGTTCACTTGGAGAAAGGGAAATGAAGTACCTTGAAGATCAAGAAGTTAAAGAAAATAAAATAAAACAAGATGAATTTATTGACCTTCGACCTCATGCTAAGAGCACCAACACAGACAATTCAAAGCAAGGAACCTCAGATAGCGGGGATGGAAACTATGGCCCTATTCCTGAACCTTCAACACCCACTATGAAAACTGAGGACTGGTCTTCGAAATACATCCCCAAGTCAAATTCTCAGGGGGAGAAGAAAGTGATTCTTGAAGGCCCCATTAAGAAAATTACAGCCTGGATTATATATAAGAGAAGATATATGGAACTCAGTGAAACTGACGGAGTCCCAAGACTTATGTACTACACTGCAAACAAGAACAAGTTGAGAAACGAGATTCCCCTTACAAATCACACAAAAGTCTATGCTACAGGACATAGTAAGTTTGAAATTGCTGATCTTGAAAATACCTTCTATTTTAAAGACTGTGGAGGAGAAGCAAAAGTGAAGCAGTGGGTCGCTGAGCTATCAAAAGCTATTGCATATCAATGCTCTCAGAAGACCTCCTTCAAAGGCAATAAGGTTATGTCTGCTACTCTGGCTTAACCTCTTGCATCCACAATTACATGAATTCCGCTTTCTTTCCTTAATAAATGTATTAGCCGAGATTATTCTCTCTTACTTGGGGTTTTGGGGTTTTGGGGTTTTGGGGTTTTGGGG